CGGGGATTTCAATTGAGATGGAAAAAAATGTACAAAATGATGTAAAAATAAACTGTTGTAAAATAAAAAAAAAAAAAAAACTAAGAGGATGCAGACCTGGGTTTTGACTGAGAGCAGCTAAGAGCGCCACATGGGTGCGTGGTTGCGCACGCCACAACCAGAGCTTCCAGCTGAGGATGGACCAGGAGACTCTATTGAACTTTGGGTGAATTCCAGATGCTGCTTTAATGGTTGAGACCTCTTTTCACAATGCTACAAAGAAAATCCTTAAAAATTACTACTTAAAGATTTAAAGAAAACTTAAAAACACTGGAGCAAAATCATGCTTGATATATATGACATCTGCATTATATAGATGTATATTATAATCTGTATCATGTATATAATCTGCAAAACAGCTGTATATTTATAATCAGCTGTACATTTATAGTTGTATCTATAATCACATATATATACAGATAGCTGTAAATACATGTATATGTGTATGTGTAAATCACTTTTGTTTCTGTGTTATAAGAATTCAGTTGCTGACATATCACCTATGACACTTTTCTTTTGGGCAGAATCTTCAAGATGATCTTGAAAAACAGGAAGAGAAATTACAGAAATTTAGCTCCGTCACCAACCACCTATTGAAAGAGTGTCATCCGCCTGTCACAGAAACTCTTACCAACACACTGAAGGAGGTCAACATGAGGTATGGAATGTGGAAGCTTCAGCATTATTTACATTATAACACTATTATAAATAATGATACAAATGAAAACTTGTTGGCATTTTAAGTTAGAGCTTTATAGATTCCTATTTTTTAAAGATTCATTTTTATTTATTTGTGCATATAAGAACTGGGGTACAGGCCAGAGGTCTAGGGTGAGAGGACTCATGAGAGATAGAGTGGAGGGAAGAACAGGCAGATCTACTGAAATCCACTGCTGAGGGGAGCAGCAGGCTTGACAGGGGAGGTCTGCTGTGCCCTGTGGGTCAGCTCCCTGGCCCGGGATTGAACTAGTGCTACTGATAGCTTGATAGTGCTCAGACTTAACTGCTGGTGCCACCAGGAAGGTCCTAGATACTATTATTTTAATGTGTAGAAAAATTTCCACTAAAAGAATTTAAGGACAAGGAGATGTAGTGAGAATATTTCCAAAGAAATTAGAAGTGCTGAATCCCCAGAGATTACCCTCACTCCTGCTCTGTACCCTTGAAACGTGCCCTTGAGATTAGGTTAAGTAGAAATGAGACAGCCCTGCCTTGTGTCCATAGCACATGAGCCAGGCTCATGGAATATTAATTAGTCAATAGCAGCATTTGGTAGGAGATGTCATGGGTCCATGAGTGTTGGCTATTGTTTCCAGATGGAATAACTTGCTGGAAGAGATTGCTGAGCAGCTGCACTCCAGCAAGGCCCTCCTTCAGCTCTGGCAGAGGTACAAGGACTATTCCAAGCAGTGTGCCGTTGCGGTTCAGCGCCAGGCGGAGAGAATCAACGAGCGCCTGAAGGCAGCCACCGACAAGGATGTCGCTGATGATGAGGTCTCAACGTGGATTCAAGATTGCAACGTAGGTCCAGCAAATCGTGGTGGTTTCCCAAGATGCCAGCCTTCGACTTTGAAGTGGAGAGGGCTAGTTCTTGAAACTAGCTGTGGGCGTGTCTTCGCCTGTGAGACAGTTATGTAAAAAGAATGCTTTTAGTATCAAAGAGCAGCAAGTCCAAGAGATCCCTTCCCATGGGTTCATTTTGAAAGATAAAATGTTTTCCTATCTTTCCCAATGTGATATCATCCGTGGGGAAAATTCTACTGTTTTTACTGAGATAGTCAATATCAGAAATGACCTTATGAAAAATAGTGGTGTATCTTGTATACTCATAGTTAAAAGTACCATCCCTTTAGGGTCATCATCTCTTATTTAAGCATCAGTGCAATCATTTGTTTTAAGAATTTAGTGGTAGAAAGAAGTCTTTCTTTGTTTACCGAAATACTTCTTTTTAGTCATTATTTTTTCCTATTTCTCTTTCTTACTTAAAGTTTGGGGGGAAAGTTCTTGTTCTACTCTTTACATAGCTCTTGCTAGTTGTACTTCCTTGTCTTTATCTTTTTTTTAAAGATTTATTTGTTTGTACATACAGAACTGGGGTACAGGCCAGAGGCTCAGGGGCGGTGAGAGGCTTCACCAGAGACAGAGTGGGGAGCAGAACAGGCAGATCGATGAAGTACACTGCTGAGGGGAGCAGCGGGCGGGTCAGGAGAGGTCTGCCACACCATGTGGTCACCTCCGGGGCAGGAGGGAATCAAATTCATGCGGAAGCAGCTTTAGATTCTCAGTGCTGTGCTTTAACCTGCTGCGCCAACAGGAAGGGCCCCCTTGTCTCTATCTTAATGAGTTTGTTCCCAAAGTAGTCTATAAACTGCCCCAAATAACTTGATTTGAATGAAGCATGTTATAAAAGCACATACATATACATTTATCTTATTCTTATACCTTCTCAGGAATATTGAATTGTCTCTTTAAATCTCAGGTAATAATCTTTATAGTAAAGATGTTGTAAGTCAGTGCTTATTTTTGCCTTCCACATAGGTTACGCTTACAAATTTTCTCATTTTCATTTTTTAGTATTCCTAGGTTGAGGTCCAGTTGCATACATTCTCTAAAGAGTGTCATACGTCACGTTACTCCTGTAAACTTGTCTGGTGTCTAAGGCAAGACTGAAGATGCCCTTTGTTCTCCTTGCACTCAGAGTTGTCACTCTGTAGTCCTAGGAGTCTCTGTTCTCTCCACCATGTCACATGGGGCCAACAGCAATGGGTGGTAAGAACAGTCATGTGCCCTCTGTAGGTGGTAGATGGGAGCCCAAGCCAAAGACTTCATTGACATCTAACTTCAAACATATGAAGAACCCCCAGACAAGGTGGAGGCAAGAGATGCCATGGAAAAGAGATCACACTCTCCTCTCACCCTGCTCCCAGAACCACCGAGCTCACTAACACACAGGACACACTGTTGACAAGCTCATTTGTAGAAAGTTTAACAGGAAAAGGCAAAATTTCTACTTGATCACAACTTCATAAGGAGGCAGGAGACACTGCCAGGGTGTGTCTAGTTATTGACACTACTTGATGGTCATTTTTCTTGTGTACATATGTTTTCTTGCTACATACCGATGTGACTTTTATTATCAGATTACTCTCGATATTGTTTACACTGGTAGTGGTCACAGTATTTTTGCACATTCTTGATAATGATATCTGCAGCTGTAAGTTATTTAGCATTGTGTTTGACAAGCAGATTCGTTTAGATGGGTGGCTCTTGGTTGATTGTTCATAACAAGGAGTATACTTTACCTGTTGTCTCACCACGGGTGTATTTCCATCTTCTCCAGGACCTTCTCAAAGGACTGGGGACCACTAAGGATTCTCTTTTTGTTCTCCATGAACTGGGAGAGAAGCTCAAGCAACAGGTGGACGCGTCAGCAGCCTCAGCCATTCAGTCTGACCAGCTGTCATTGAGTCAGCAATTGAATTCCCTAGAACAGGCTCTTTGCAAACAGCAGGCCCTGCTTCAGGTACAGTCCTGCCTTCTTCAGTATGTGTTGTAAATCGTTTGTTGTATAATGCCTAAGCATGAGCACAGAAAAAGAGGGTGTCTTTATCATTGAGACAGTGCTTTCATCAGGACCAAAGACTTAAACCAATAAACAACTTGGTTGTGACAGGGGGGACTCACTGGGGTGGAGGCTGGCACTGTTCTCTGTAATTTTGCCCATGAATCAATCTCTCCCTCTATGGGATTCAGTAAAATGTTTTCAGTTAATTTACTCTAAATGACTTCAATATTAATACCCATGTATCTATAAAAGTTTTGCAAGAATATGGTATTTCTTGGTTTAATAATGCATTTAAAGTTAACTAGTTATTCTTTAATGTTTTATTAAATATTATTAAATACTTATCATATTATTAAATATTTATATTCATGTAATTTAATATTGTGTAGGAGTAATTCTAAGTTTTAGGAGAGTTATAAAAATAACTTTTCTTTAGAATGATAATTTGATACAAGAATATGAAAGGTCATTTCAATGTCCATTAGCCTATAACTAGGTTTCTAAATACCAGTTTCCTTTTGTGACAAAAAGGATGGAGTACTTGATTATGAAACCTTTACCAAGAGTTTAGAAGCTTTGGAGGCCTGGATCATAGAAGCTGAAGAAATTCTCCAAGCGCAGGACCCTAACAACTCATCAGACCTCTCCACCATCCAGGAAAGGATGGAGGAGCTCAAGGTAGATGCCTCTCTACATTCCAGGCCTACACTGTCTATCTCCTGTGCTCAGACTCTTGTGGGAAATTCAAATGTAGCATAGCCTTACTATTTTTGTCATTTGTAACTGCTGCTATTTATTGAAACGGAATTTGGTCAAGTCAGAAACTAGAATAACAAACAGCCTCTACAGATTGCAAGGACCTAACTTTGTTATGTAAAGGAGACCAGCTTTGTCCCCAAATCAAAAGCCACTCTGCCTAGGGAGGAGGCCAGTCTTTCTCTCAAGGCACTAACCTGCTTGTAAATTCCTTCTAGGGACAGATGTTGAAATTCAGCAGCATGGCTCCAGATGTGGACCGTCTGAATGAGCTTGGATACAGGTTACCCCTGAACGATAAAGAAATCAAAAGGATGCAGAATCTGAACCGACATTGGTCTCTGATTTCCTCTCAGACGACGGAGAGATTCAGGTAGAGGGACCAAGATGTGCTTAGGCCGGTCTGATTTATTAGTAGAAACATATTCATGACTTGTGCACGTTGGTAAATCCTGGTTTTTCCAAGAATCCTCATAAAAGTTGACCTGAGGTTGGGTAGGTTTCCCATGTGTAAGGGACTAAATATTGTTTAATCAGAAAATCAATAACATTGTTGAGTAAAATTATACCAGAGATGGATGCATAATTTTGCCATTTTATAAAAAGCTATCACTGTAAGATTTTTATATTTCTTTAGTTTTTTTGTTTGTTTTTGTTTTTTTTTATGTTTTTGTTTTTTATGTTCGACTACTGAACATGGAAATTTTGTGATGGTCAAATGTTTAACCTAGCTTTCTATGCTAAAGTTGCAAGCATACGCAACACTAATAATATAATCATTATTCGTTTTATCTAGTTCGGTTTGATTTCTTTCTTCATAGTCACTTTGTGGTAACTTTTTGTTGAGGTAACTGTGGTGTCCAGCACTGTGTATTACTTAGCGCTATCAGACCCCCCTCTTCAGATGTTTGTTCCTACCCCACACCCACTAACACAGCACCCAGTGTCCTCCAGCTGGCTTCACTGATTCCCTCTCTCCTTTGTTCCCCAGCCCCAGTCCCCTCCTCTGGTATCCTCAATTCTACAGTCAGATATCTAAGGCTTGTTTGGTTTGTTTTGTCTCTTTCTTTGTTTTGTTTCTTTATATTTCACACAAATAAAATCATCTTGTTTGTCTTTTTCTATCTGACTTAAATTAATTAGCTTGAGCTCCTCCAGCTGCACTGACATTGTCGACATTGTCACAAATGACAAGATTTTATGTTTTAATATAGATGAGTAGTAACAATCCTTGTTCTTTGTCCTTCATTCATGCAGTAAGTTGCAGTCATTTTTGCTCCAACATCAGACTTTCTTGGAAAAGTGTGAAACATGGATGGAATTCCTGGTCCAAACAGAACAAAAGTTAGCAGTCGAGATTTCGGGCAATTATCAGCATCTTTTGGAGCAACAGAGAGCTCATGAGGTAAGCTTTGCCAATAGACTTGGAGGTAATTAAAGCATGGTAGACCTTTGGGAGGGAAGCTTCAAAATGCCCATGTGGAAGGACTAAAGTGTTGAGTCCGTGTGGATGCTTGTACAGTACTGTCTGCCTTCAAAGCTTGAGGTCTAGGTATCTTCGTGGCAAAATGGTGTCCCAGTCCCTCGCTGCCTTGGTTAAGAGCAGTAAGCTTTCAAATCCTGCTGAGTGTGTGCCTCTAGAATTCTGGTAAAATCTACCTACTGGTGGAATGGAGAAGGAAGGATAAAAAGTTCGACAATATTCAAATTGTCAAAGACAACATTAACATTCCAAAGCTAGTTGCGACAGGCATTATTAAGCTTTGGCCAAAAACCTCTGCTAAATGAAAATTATATGCTCATTAAAAAGCAAATATGTATCATATATTAAGGATACCAAACTGCCAAATAGCTCCAAGTAGACCTCGCAATCCAGTTGTAATTATAATTATTTCTCAGGAAACACTGAGAGTGAAGTAGATATAAAATGTAACAGTTAATTTGCCACTGGTCTCTACTTTGAAGAAAAATATTATTTACTTGTTCCATGTTTTACTAAATGTATGAAAATTAAAAGATACCTAAGAGCAGAGAAAAGGTGAATTGAGAACCTAGAAGAGAAGGAAACTCATTCTCAAAAATTTTGCTTTAGTCTTAAAAAGAGAGCATTTATCTATGCTTAAGACATTTTTAAGTGCAGTTTTATGGCATTAACCCATGATGACATAAATGACAGTGAATTTAAAGTCCAATGAGGTATCACTCTCACCCACTCAAATGACGGCAGTGAACAAGATAAGCGTTGAAGAGGGTGTAGAGAAATTGGAATTTCATTGTGTTGGAAACATAAAATAGTGAAGCTGTTTTGGCAAACAATTTGGCAGTTCCTCAAAACATCAAGCATGAGTTACTCTATGACCCAGTCACCCCCCTCCAAAGAGAAATGAAATATGTATCCACACAAACACTTGCACAACAATTTTGCTTGCAGAGACCTTACTCATAATTGTCACCAAATGGAAGTGCCCGAATAGCCAGTTGGTCGATGAGTGAATAACGTGTGGTACATCCATACATGGCATTCTACTCAGAAATATAAAGGAACATGGTACCTATCTATGCTCTTGGCAGCAGACAACAGCCTTGAACTGTGCCAGATGGAAGAAAGTCAGACACATAAGACCCCCAGTGGCATGTGAAATGCCCAGAGTAGGCAAATCCTTGGAGACAGAAGGTAGATGAGTGGGGTTGAGAGGAGATGGAACTGACTGAAAATGAATGTGGAATTCTTTTTGGAGCAATGAACATAATGACACATGAGTGTGGTGATGGTTGTGCATGGCTGTGACTGTCATGAAATCGTTGTACATACACCACTTGAGGTGCGTTAGAAGGCATACGAATTTCATCGCTACAAGTCTGCTTAAAAACAGTGGAATTAATTTGGAAGACCTTCTGTGGAATGCTGTAGTAGGGAAATAGTTTTATTAGCCTAGCTAAATTGAAACATAATGAATTTAACATAAGTGAGTTTTTGTTTCCATTTTTTAACTTTTTCCAAGGTCTTTTTTCTGTGTGAAGACAGACCATGTTTTGCATATAAAATTAAACCACAATATAAGCTATATGTTAAATAACTTTATTAGGTGATTTGGGAAAAGGGGCAACATAATGGTCCTTTGATTCAGTTAGTTTTAGTAAACAAAATTGAGTGTTAAGTATATCTTTTTTTTTTTTAAAGATTTATTTATTTATTCATACAGAACGGGGGTACAGGCCAGAGATGCGGAGGGTGATAGGATTCACCAGGGACAGAGTGGGGAGCAGAACAGGCAGATCGACGAAGTCCACTGCTGAGGGGAGCAGCGGGCGGGTCAGGAGAGGTCTGCCACACCATGTGGTCACCTCCCGGGTAGGCGGGGATCAAACTCATGTGGAAGTGGCTTGTGCTTCTTAATGTAGTGCTTTAACCCGCTGCGCCACCAGGGCGGGCTCCCATTAAGTATATCTTAATTGGTGGTAGAAAGATACATTATTCCTGCACTGCAGGATTTCACACAACAACCTGATTCGGCTGGAGATATTTTTCCTAGCTTACCAAAACCAGAGTTTTCAGAAAGTTAGTAGAGAACTGGTCACTAAAATTAGGAACTCTAAAGCTTGTTCTATTTATTTATTTTTTTTAATAATAGTTGTTTCAAGCAGAGATGTTCAGCCGTCAGCAGATTCTGCACTCAATCATCATTGACGGACAGCGTCTCCTAGAGCAAGGTCAAGTTGATGACAGGTAGGACTTTTGATATATAATATGAAGAAAGGTTCCAGTAAATTAGTCATTTTCTCTTTAATGAACAGATTAGAGGGCATATATCCAATCTTCCTAAGGCAATTGCACTGCAGTGAAACCTCAGTAATTGGAGCAGAGGTTTGTCTGAACCTCTGAAATGACTGCGTATTGAATCTTTTTGAAGAACTGCTATTATATTCTGTGAAAGACACAGAGTAATTGAAAATCACCCAGCCAACCTTCACTGGTCATTGTAGGAGACAGACAATGATGAATATCAGAATGAATTATATCAAGAGGTATCAATGGTTTGTAAACAGAAGCTTTAATAGTCTTGTACTATTACAGAAATTCTATTCCTAAAAGGCGCGTCTGGACATCTCTCTTACTTGACCTGGACATGTGAACTGACTTGCTGAAGGGCCAGTAACGGAGTGGCAGCAGAGTCTAGCTGCAGCTCACAGTCTGGGATGAGCTTCCTGAACCAGGTGGTGGGCGTCCCTCTGTGTTTGACAGTGACCAACAACCTCAACTCGCATCACACTTAGCCTCAGCATTTCTTCCTCTTCATTTACTTAGCAGATTTTCTCTATGTGAAAAAAACAGAAGTAGCCCCCACAAAATCCCCACCAATTCACCCGTGAACTATCATCATCGTCTCTGTGCTTTCCCTCCCCTGTTTTGACCTCGCTACTTCCCCCTCCATTGCAGAATGTCTGATTTATAGTCGCCTGCTAATTTTTGTTTTGATTCCTTATTTGGGTCTCCTATATTCCTCCTGTAACAGAAACCATCTGATATATTTCTGTTTCCTGAAAAGAGAAAGCCTATAAGCATGCACTGTACAAAAATGGATGATTTAATTATTTATACATATATATTTTTTACTGCTATATTATATATATATATTTTACTTCTGTATTATGTATGCATATATAATACAGAAGTAAAATCTAAAAATATAACTCTTCTTTTGATATGTGGTATGTGAATTCACAGTTTCATATTATACTTAAATTTCCTAGAAACACAACTTTATCCTGTCTTCTTTCTGTGCTGTTGGGCATATAAACCTCATTGAATTTATTACATGCAAATATCTTTCACATATTAGGACCAGTAGTTGTGACTATCACTAACTTAGTGTTTTTTTTAATAGAAAACATATCACTGTTTTATTGAGATTTTTAAAAAATGTTTGCATGCAGTTTCAATTTTAAGTGGCTGTTTATTTGGAAGTACATGAAAGATTTTCATGGTTAGGCTTGGAAGAACAAAATATGCCACATTTATTCTATTTCAAGTAAGTCAAATTTATTTTATTTTATTTTTTATATTTATACTTCATCCTTCATTTTTCCACAGTGTAAGATTTTCCCATAAAATTCCCGCCACCAATTTCCCCTGTGCACCACCAACATCGTCTCTTGTGTTCTTCCCACCCTGTCCTGATCCTTCTGGCTCCTCTTCCCTACATGTCTCTGCTCTATAATTGCCAGATGATTTTGATTTTTACTTCATTATAGTAAATAAGTCAATTTTAAATTTGAGCTTTACTGAGAAATTATGGCCTTCAAAATAAAACAAACACATATGCAATTAACTTATCTTTTGCTTCCTCTGCCCGTAACTAACTCTGTAACAATGTTATAGAAATACAAGTCATTAAGTAAAACAATATATAAAATGTATTCACAAACCAACATCTACATTTTAAATGTCAACAGAAAAACACATTGAAACAATGAAAAGGGAAAAGTTGGACTGGATGGATAAGGAATTTTGAAAATTGCAACTGAAAAAAATTCAGATCAGAGCTTGTTGAAAATAGAAAGATCCAGATTACAAATGTGTGTGATGATTTTAAAGTCCATTTGTAAGTTGTTTTTCAGAATTCAAGTTCAGCAGTAGGGATAGTGAGGTATTTTAAGCAGTTCCCCAGGCTGGCCGGTATCTCGGGACACCTTAGTCCTACATCGTGGGCAGACAGCCCCAAGACTGCGTGGCTGCGCCCCAAGACTGCGTGGCTGCCTGGGAGAAAAAGCCAGGCGCAGCGTCTTTCCCATTGCAGCAGACTGTCAAGTCCTGAGGTTTTCAAAGATGATAAGAGATTATAGCTTCAGGGCAGTCTTGGGAACCTAACAGCACATTGGGTTCTATGGCAAGTGATGTAAATATTGGATCTTACTTCAATATAGAAGCGCTAATAGCTCACATGGTCACAAATCAAAGTTTATTTGGCATAGATGAGAGGTAGGACAGGGACAGAGGACTCAGGAGGTCCAAACCTTCTGTGAAGCTCCCTGTGACAGGAAAGGGTACTGTAGCTGGGGAAAATGGCTAAGAAAATGCCACAGAGAGAAATTAAGTATTGTTACACATTAGTACTGAAATGAGTCAACACAACCTACAGAGAAACTCATGAACAAACCTGTGTTTTTCAGTTTTAGATCCACCAGCTGAATGATAAATAAACCCTAGTGACTCAGTTTTTCAAAGGTAGGAAACACCTAGCTAAGGGAGAACAAGCTAAAAGATCTGAGGTTTTTGGCCTCAAACTGAGAAAACATAAATAAAATTTATTATCTCTTCCTGTAGGAGCTAACTTTATAATAGTTCCTGCTATAAAGCAATTCCTGTTTTGCTTTTGTTTTTAAGATTTATTTGTTTTTGCATACAGGAACTGGGGTACAGACTAGAGATGTGTGGGGTGAGAGGATTCACCAGAGAGAGTGAGGAACAGACAGGTGGATTGACTGAACTATGCTGCTGAGGGAGCAGCCGGCAAGGCAGGAGAGTCTTCTGTGCCTTGGGGATCGAACTCATGCTGCAGCGGCTGCGGCCAGCTTCATAGTGCTGTGCTTTAACCAGCTGTGCCACCAGGGAGGCCCCTCATTGCCATTTTCCTAAGAACAAAGTAAAATGCATTTAAAGTGTAGGAAGGATGATGTAGCTGCTCATTTGGAATAATTTGCTAAAGGTTCGGGTTGTTCACTATGAAAGTATACTGAGTTTATGAGGCAGAGTTTGTTTTTTTTTTTTTTTTTAATTTTACAACAGTTTATTTTTACATCATTTTGTACATTTTTTTTCCATCTCAATTGTAATCCCTGCGATTTCCCATCACCAAGTCACCCATGTGCCATCACCATAATCCCGTGCACTTCCCTCCCCGCCCCCCCGTTTTTGATCCCATTCCCCCACTCCACCTATGGGGTAGAGTTTTAAAAATTATTTTTAAGTAGCAATTTTACTTAAACTTAGGCTTCTAGCTAAAATAGCCCAGCTTTGTTCATCCAGAGAGGTTGTGATTCTAGCTGGAGGCAGAGGTTTTAGGGAAGTTTGGCGCCTCAGAACACACACAGGTGCTCCCACCTGCTGCATAAGGGGCTCGAGGCATCCCAGGGCTTGGGACACTCCTTTCCCTTGGCTGCCACTCTCATGCGCTCAGGGAGAGTCAACACAACGACCTTATTATAGATGTGCCTTTGACCTGTGCTGAGACACAAAAACACTCCCTGTCGCGAGTATCGATGGTTCACTATTACTTGCTTTCAAAAGCACTTGCAGTCATCCTAACAACAGACCATATTTGAAAACCCCACCTAGGTCATGGCTCAGGGCTGGGGCATCGGTTTGTTGGCCCTGCTGTTCATGTAGTGACCCCTGAGGTAACAGGGTTTCCCCTCTGTGATTATTTCCCCACCAGAGACGAGTTCAACCTGAAGCTGACACTTCTCAGCAACCAGTGGCAAGGCGTGATCCGCAGGGCCCAGCAGAGGCGCGGCATCATCGACAGCCAGATCCGCCAGTGGCTGCGCTATCAGGAGATGGCGGAAAAGCTCCGGAAGTGGCTGGTGGAAGTGGCCTGTCTCCCCGCAAGTGGCCTCGGTAGTGTCCCCATCCCACTGCAGCAAGTGAGGACCCTCTTTGATGAAGTGCAGGTAAGAGCCAAGACCCCTGGTTTTCCAAGCTCTTCTACATTTCCACCACACACTTTACTCCAGTCTCAGTTCTGTAGAAGATTCTGGAGGGACTTTGGAATAAGGACAGACATCACTCATAATGTTAATAGAACCTGACAGAGAAGTTGCATCAGAATATCCCTTCTTAAGGAGAGAGAGCGGTAGGGTAGTCCCAGCTCTCCTCTCACCCGCTAAGGCCTCCAAGACGTCTCTCACAGAGACGCCCTCCTCTCACCCACCAAGGCCTCCTGGCAGCTCACTGAACTCCACTATGGATGAAGAAGCCAGGCAAGGCTTATGTCCTTTACTCATGAACTTTGCACCTTGAACATTCTAGAAGTGATATCAGCTCAGACTGGGAGGAGCCTTGGTCTGGCCTGGCAGTCTGGGACTCCGCCTCTTAGCTACATCCCAGCGCTCCAGCCAGTCCTTCCCAGTTTATTCTGTGAGTTCCTCTTCCTTTGAAGATCATTGCTTTTGCCTTTATTTCCCCTTCTCTTTCTCTTTCTTCTCCTTTCTCCCCATGTACATACAAGGCTTCTACTACCCCCTACCCACAACCCTCTACCAGCAGACAAGAGTCCAGCTGGCACCAGCTGGTCATAGTTTCCTCCCGAGCTTTTGACTCACATCACCACCTGCCTTTCCATTTGCATCAGTGTGCATCGGGCATAGCTGCCCTGGAGAGGCCGATGGCGCTTGAGACCTCTCAGTCAGCCATTTTCCATCAGCCCCGAGCCAAGGAAATGTCATTACCTGCTATCTGCTCTACCAGCCAGGAGCCCTGGCCTTACTCCGAGGTATACTCTTTGCTTCCTCTCTCTCCCCATGTCTGGTCTGCCCTACAGTTCTATTCATACCACTGCTACTGTGGATCAGGTGTCTGTGATTTCTCACCCGGGCAGACAATGGCCTCCGGCCTTCTTAGCACATCCAGTGTGTGCTCTTGCTCCAGGCCACTTTCTGTGCCACTGCTGAGAGCTGCAGTCTGAACACATCACTCCCCTGCTTTGTGATCTTCTGTGACTCTCTGTGACTTCTTCTATAAAAGCCAAATTTCTGTGCAAAGCCTAGTCTTGCCACACCTTCTCCCACTCATGCCTGCACCCTATTTTCCAGCCACTGAAAACTGCCCAGTTTTCTGAGTTCATCCTTTTTCTCTGCGCCATGGATCTACCCATCCCCACTTCCCAATAGGGGTGGTAGCTTCTTCCAGGCTCCTGTCCCTCATCCAGTTTCCTGTGTCTTTCAAGACTCGTATGCAGCCTCAACCCCTTACCCCAAGGAAACCTCTCCGTGCTCCTGTAGAACTGGATGTCCCTTGGGTTAGACATCAGTCTCAGACAGCAGCTCCATGCTGCATCAAGATCACATTTACCTGCGAGACACACTGAGCCTCTTCCTGGTGCATTCTCATCCACTCATGTACAAAGCACTAGCTCAGTAAATGCTTTCTGGATGAAAGAGCATTCCGTACACACAACCAAGCAGGGTCATTTCAAAACTCTTACTGTAGAAAATGGCAAAGAAAGGAATGAAAAGTTAAAAGCTCTGGTCCTTTCAGTTCAAAGAAAAAGTGTTTCTGCGACAACAAGGCAGCTACATCCTCACCGTGGAGGCGGGGAAGCAGCTCCTGCTCTCGGCAGACAGCGGGGCCCAGGCCGCCCTGCAGGCCGAGCTCACGGATGTCCAGGAGAAGTGGAGATCAGCCAGCACACACCTGGAGGAGCAGAAGAAAAAGCTGGCCTTCCTGTTGAAGGTAAGCCCAGACTTTCCCTCCTGTAAGCAGAATCCAGCTTCCGGTGCCCTCTGAGAGTCAACTAAGGCAGGAGGAGAGAGAAATATAGGATGCTCTCACTGATGGGGGGGGGGGGAGTGTGTGTAGAGGAACCGAACAAAGGGTCAGGAAAACAGCAAAGCTCCTGAGATGACCGCAGACCTGAGTGAGGGGAAGGAGAGGAGGAGGGGAGAGGAGAGCACGAGGACAGTGGTGAGGGTCACAGGTGCTGTGGCAGTGGGAGATTACGGGACTACACCTGGCGGAGACATCAAGTACTGTCCAAAATGAACATCTCTGTAAGGAATAAATACAGTTATATGTAAAGTAATGAAAGGGCCCCCTGAATGCTGCCCTCTCTCCTGTCATCCTCCTTTGACCCAGTAATGCCAAGGGTCGTCACTTAAGATTATATCCTGGCTACAGGGCAGGGGCAGACATGGGTGTGCTGAGGGAAAAACCACGAAGAGAATAAATAAAATCCATGTGAGTGGAGTAAGAAGCATTCGCTGGGCTTCCACGGTTCGGAATTTACAGCAGTTGTGATACTTGGCAGAGGAACAGACCATACTAGCGTTAGTTACTCGTGAGGAGATGGTACCTCACTCTTCAGTTACAGAAACCGCAGTTTCAAACAAAAATATCCGTGAAAGAATACAAAAATGAAAAGGACTGATATTAAAAGTTAATTATTTAAAATGGCAGCACACGCACGCTCATCCATGAAACAGTCCCCTTTTCTTCCGAAGGTTTTGTAATGCATTAGAAAAAAGAGACTTTGCCTTATCTTGCACAAACTGGAAAAGTTTCTGAGTTGTTAGCAGTTTGTCATTCAGAAAAATCCCCTACAAAGTAGTTTAGAGTCTTGTAAGGCTGTCCAGGTGGTGAGTTCTGATTCATGGCCGGCGCTTAGCCAGGAGCCTGTGAGGACTTTATCATCCAGACAGGAATGTAAAGTGACATTTCCACGCCCTAATTTAAGACTTTACAGTAGTTTTGAAGATTGATATCTCCTATTTTATGACTACAGAAGGTAGTCTCGATGTGATTGTGATCTGAGCTTATCGGAGCACCCTGCTCTGAGGTGAAATCCCCAGGTGAACTCAGCATGACAGACACTTAGATGTCGTGGCCGGACACTTGGCATAGAGTCTCACACTGCTGAGAGCGACTTGGACTGTGCCACACCTCCCACAATGCACCTTCCTCCCCCACTTTCTAATTCTATGTTAAGTACTTCAAAGCTATGGTGAGGGGCCTGGGCGCTAAACTCAGGTGACCCAGGTTAAAACCAAAGTAATCAAAGCAACCTGGGTAACTCAACTAGGCAAATCTCAGTTTCCTCACCTGTGAAGTGGTTGTGATTAGACTACCTTCATGTGCAATTGTGAGGAATAAATTCCTGAGGAGAAATCATGTGTCAAAGAACCTGAAACAAATTCACCACTCAATAAATGTAGTTATTATGTTGATATAGTTATTATTTTGAAAACTTAATACGACTTCATATATGTCGATATCAGAAACACTTTAATGAGATTATCTGTGAACTTGGCTTGTCCCATTTTGGATGAAAGATAATAGCTAAAGTTCATGGAGCACATTTTCCATTTTTTAATACCTCCAGCATGTGCAACCGTGGTCATCTACTGATTTTTATTAATTAATAGATTATCTTTTGTGCAGAATCAATCAAAAATGTTTGATTGATTCTGGAAAAGAACCTTTGCACAAACAACAATCCATCAGTAATACAAGCTGCCTGATTCCTTTTTTTCTTCAAGGAAAGGATTAGCAGCAACATTGTAACTCATTTTGCGGGAACATGTTAATCATATTTCTTTTTATTTGGACTGTGAGTTTTGGACATGCTCCGATGACTTGGTAAGGCGAGATGGCTGAGTCACTGCTTTTGCTTTTCTCGTCAGTCAGCTCGTTGATGTGTGAAGCATCCATTTTGATAGATATTTGCAGACCATAACATTTAGTTATTTCCTTATGAGTCATGTAGTGAAAAGAGTTGATTATAACTTCAGAATCTAAGCCATTCTTGGAAAGGGGAGGCCTGCTTCTTGTTTAAGTTTATTTTATTTTGAATTATACATTTGGTTCTATTTACCTAAGGAGGAATTATTAAAGTTATAATAATTCCTAGTGTTTATACAGCGTCATTTTGTGTCTCTTTTCACCATTATAATGCATATTTTTAATTGTTAATGCTCTAAATAAATATCAAAGATCACACCATTATAATTTTATATCCTGTGCCTACCTGCTTTGCAATTTGTGTTATAAAATATGATATATGAATAATATTATAAACTTTTGAGCTATAAGACTAATTTGTGGCTCCCGGGAAGGAGGAGGGAATAAATCAGAAAGAAGAGGACTGTGGCCAGTGAGAGGCAGACTTGGGCTTTTAACAGTGACCTGCATGTAGGCGACACACATGTTGATTCTCAACAGTGAACACCTGGGCTTATTTAATCTTACAGTGTATATTATTTCAGTAAGAACAAAAAGTATTCTGGATATTGTACTTGGTGCCTTTATTTTTTTTAAGATTTTATTTATTTATGCATACAGAACTGGGGTGCAGGCCAGAGGTGCCAGGGTGGTGAGAGGATTCACCAGAGACAGAGTGGGGAGCAGAATAGGCAGATCGACAAAGTACACTGCTGAGGGGAGCAGCGGGCCGGTCAGTAGAGGTCTGCTGCACCATGTAGGTCACTTCTGGGGTGGAGGATCGAACTTGCACTGAAGCGGCTACAGCCAGCTTGTAGTGCTGCGCTTTAACCTGCTGCACCACCAGGGAGGGCCCCCTTGGCATCTTTAGAGTGGTACATCCTTTAGTCCTACAACAGTCACAGAAGTTTTGCATTATTTCCATCCCTAGGGAAAATGGAGACATCATGCGTTAGCTGCTTAATCACACAGATAATAGAGTCCACACAGATAGTAGAGTCCATCTAGAACTCAGCTCGTTTTATGTTGCCTACCGAGATGGGTTTGCACACATCCTCCCATTAGCCATGACTACCTTTCTTTGGGAATTCAGAAGTATTTTTCTGTATTTCCCAGTTTCCTAGCCCCCAAATCTATGAGCTTTCTTTCTCCTCTCACTATAGGACTGGGAAAAATGTGAGAAGGGAATAGCTGATTCTCTGGAGAAACTACGAATGTTCAAAAAGAAGCTTTCCCAGCCTCTACCAGACCACCACGAAGACCTCCACATGGAGCAAATGCGTTGCAAGGTAACTGTGGTGTGGCACCTTACTGTTACCCACCACGTTCCAGTCCCCTGGGGGTCACATGTACTTGCCAGTTCCTGGTACAACTAGCACCATCCTGCTAAAGCTTAGTTGTTGATTTATTGCTGTTAATGAAATTATAGACTAGCTTACGGATTTCTGCAAAGAAGTAATTGCAAATGTTAGCTATAATATAAAGATAAATTTGAAAGCTGGGTCAGAAGCAGTAAAAGGAGACTTTTTAAAGGGCCCCCACCAAGAGAGTCATTTCTGCAGCTGAGTCTACTTTTCATGAAGAAGAAGAAGGCTTTACATTCCAGGAAACTGCAGACGGCACCCCAAGAGTGGCACACCCTGCCCTCCAGAACCTTGTGCATGGCAAGCAGGAACTGTGAATGTCTGGTCTCAGTTTCTGCATGAAGACATATAGTCCTTCAGTTACACAGAGCCCTGATTTCTTAAAGATGACTATCAGCACCTCAAATCACCTGGAAATAAATCAGTAGTCCAGACGGACCACTCCTTGCTTCATGAGCTCATTGAGACCAGCATGATTTAGTAGCTGTAGGATTCATTCCATTCACATGTATATTTTCTCAGTCATTTATTAATTCTTGCTTTCCATGCCAAAGGTTCTGGAAGGGTGTGCTCTTCTCAGTGCTGTTGTCTGCAGAATTTACAGGCTACCGAAATTCAAACTGTGTAGCCAGGTGGAGGGTTAGAGAACGGTTTTCTGCTTGGCAATGTGTGGCTCATAACCGCTGCTGAAGATGTTCTTTATTCAAATTACATGTGGGTTTACATTCCCCGTCATTTGCAAATAATCAGTCATTTAATTCTACATGGAACTTCACATGTACTTATAGGACTTGGATTCTCAATAGAAATTTCCTACTCACTGTGGCTAAAAATGTCCTAAAATTTAAGAAAGATTAATTCTTAAAGGTTCTAGAAATCTTGATAATCATGAATATGAGCTTTCTTCCCTTCAATGTTAACATTCAAGTATATTTTTCAAAACCTGGGAGATGCAGATTTAAGAAAAATGAAAGATAGCAAACTTAACATAAGCATTGGTGAGTGACATAGGCTCATGGTGTAAACTCAGAAATTTGTGAAGAGTAACAGGAGTTTGTTGTAGGCTGTGATTGTAAGTCTATAGCAATGACGTATGCAAACTACTGTTAAGCAGGAACATATTTCCTAGACTCCTGCTATGCTCCCATAACTAGCAATTAGCTTAACGCTTCAGTCATGTGAGTATAAATTGATGAAGACACTGTTTTTTCCATTCCACAGATGTGAAAACTGGGTTCCTAGAAATTTAGCAACAATTCCAAGTTCCTATTTCCTGACTCAAAGCACTCTATTTTTATAATAGATGTATCTACTGTGAGCTGAAGTAGTTAGCTTCAGCCAGGTGCTTTCGTTTCTTTCTTAATCCATACACCAAATCTGATGTTTGATTTGGGGGCTCAAAACTGGAGTAAGAAGGCAATGTTCACATTGGCACAACAATTTAATATGAATAAGGATTTAAGCAAAATCGCTGCATATTTCACACACTTGGATAGTTCTGTCTTTCAGCCAAATATTGTGATCATGGTTCTTATCTCCCAAAACACATAACAGTTACAAACATGAGCTGCTATTGAGTGTGAAGATTGAAAGTAGGATGTATTTTGGTCCAGCTTTCTGCTGCTCTTGCCCGAACCACCCTTAGGAGCAAAACAAAGCAATTACCTGGAAAATTCAGGCTCAAACCTTATTTGCCTAAATTGCCTAGGAAGTTAGCCTCAGACAGTACAGCTAATTGCCTTTGCCTTTGAAAACTTGTCTCCTATGTGAAGAGTCAAAAACTAAATTAGCTGGAATCTAAAAAAAAAAAAAAAAAAAAAATCAACAGTGGGCAAAGAGCAAGAGTTATCCAAATTGCAAAACTGGTCATCAGCATTACAAAAACTAATGTCCATTTAAATATTATTATGTAGACTTTTTCTTAAATTATTCCCACAAATGTCAGGTTATGTGTATAGTTTTTTTTCAGGAACTTAAAAATCTCTGATCCTGCAGAGAATGTATTCAGGCTGTTCTTTTATTTACTTATTATTTCAGTAAATGCAATATTTAGTTCACTATTTTAAATTGAGTAATAGCAGATATTTTCAGTTTTTAGATTACAAACATATATCACAGAATCTAGCAACCCACGGTGTTTGAAGATACAAGTTATTTTTTAATATTTTATTAACATGTTCAATAACTTGGGACAAAGGATAGGGCAGGTTAGGAGTTTAGTAAATCAGATTAAAATAAAGGAATTCAATGACGTGATGACACGACACTAACTTAGAAAAATGTTCAAAAGTGATCACTGAAAGTGTTACAGGGTAGCCCAGAAACCCAGAGTGGACTGGGCCCCTGTCGGCCTCACCCACGCGCTCTGTTGGCCTCACCCACACGCTCAAAATTCAGTTATACTGCAGGCACGCACAAAAGGATCAAAATGGGTTTATTTACAAAAGAGGAAATAAACAGGAGAGAGAGAGAGAGAGATATGAAATGGCTTCCTATTTATCCCCTAATGTCCCAGAATTCCTGCTAGCACCGCCCTTAGGTCCTCGCAGTTCTCTCCCTGGTACTGTTGGGAGTTGTAGTTTCCAATCACTGGAGTAGGGGGTAGGGCCCAGAAAGCTGGAGTAGAGGGTGGGGTTCATAAGACTCTGCAGAGTTCCTTTAGGACATTCTTCCCCTTAACAAAATGGCAATGGTAGGAAGGGTTAGGAAGCAGCCTGGTATTTTATCAGAAGAACATGGCAAATTACCAGATTATGTGCGAAGTAAGTGGAGATATTCAACTGAGATATTCAAACAGGAGAGGAAGATTAATTGTAGCGATAGGAGATTCAAAATACATTTCAGATGCTATTGGTGATTCTTGGGTTTTTTGTTTTTGTTATTTTAATCTAGGAATTGGAAAGTGCAGTTGGTAGCTGGACAGATGACTTGGCACAGCTGACCCTATTGAAGGACACCCTTTGTGCCTACATCAGTGCTGATGATATATCTATCCTCAACGAACGCATGGAGCTCCTGCAAAGGCAGTGGGAAGAACTGTGCCACCAGGTGATCCTTTCCCTTCTGTTTTCTAACCCACCTTCTTTCAAATTCCACCACCCCAAGATTCAATTATCAAGATACTCACACCTCAGTATCTTCTTGTTCCTCTGAACCTCCATTTCCCTTTTGAGCAACACCATCTTCTTTTTGTTTGTGAGTTGACTTTAAGACTCTGAGGGGTTTGAAAACATTTCTTTGGGTTCACAGAGTGTGCAGCAGCTATGTGTTCTTAAGTGCTGTTAACCATACAGTCTAGTGTCTTTATATTTATGTTCCTCTATTTGCAAAATAATGGCAAGTCCTCTAATATATTGGGGAGGCTAAAAAGATTATGGCTATACAGTAATTTTTGACTTAGGGATCCAGGCTCTGTATAAAAATGCCACGAGTCCAGAGAGAACAAGAAGATAAGCTCTCAGAATCCAGTGTACAGCGTGATTATGTCAGCAAGACTATGAATCGCTAATGGAGTAAACCTCAAGTGTTCTCACCACACCAAAAAATCATCCACTATGTGAGGTGATGCCTGTGTTAACTAACTCTGAGGTAGTTGTTTAGCAATCCTCTCATCTAATCTAATTGTATCTAATTATCACATTGTACACCTTAAACATACACAACATTATCTGTTAATTATATCTTACTAAATCTGAAGACAGCAAAAAGGAGGGACATTTATATGCTGTAAAACAGGTAACCATCTGGAAGTACATTTCAAAAGCTCACGGGATGCAGAGTGTGAAGAACCTAATAACCTTGCACTTGTCTGTGAACTAATACGTCAGTTACAAAAAAAAGAGGAAGCAGAGATATACATCGAGTTTCTAGAAACTATATTGAGTGTCTTATGGCATGAAGCTGAAACAGAGTCCTCTCCCATTAATCACTTCGATCTAAATAAAATGATTTCAACCAGTGAGAGTTTAGTCACGGGTGCTCACAACAAATGCATCAGGATAAGAGTGTAAGGAGGTGATCAACTGTCATATAGACTCTGGTGACCGGTTTTCAAGTTAACGTTTCTGAAGAACTTTGAGCAAGTATAAAACCACAAGAGGAAATGAGTTCGTGACTGTGCCCCATTGTAAAAGTTAAAAACTTTAGTTCAACATGGCATCACCTTCCTGCTGAGGGGCAGTCTCTTCATGCTGCAACCGAAGCAGTGGCAGGATGAGGAGTAACTGGCTGCAGAGGAGTTGAGGAAGACTCTGAAGACGCCCTGTGAGTATCTCTGCAGAGTGAGCTCCTGCAGGAAGGCATCTGTGCTCAAGGTGATGCCCCACAAAGCTTGTTGTGCCTGATACAGCCCAGTCTTTGCTGATAGGTGCTTTTCTTCACAATTTGGTTTGTAGATTGGGATGGAATTCTAGTGGAGGCCTAAATATATGATCGTCGTCATTGCTTGGTGTTTTTCAAATCATCATGACAAAAATATGTGAAGTAGCAAAGGATGTATTTCCTGTTCAGCTGCCCACTCTGGAGGCTTCAGCGGGTCCTGTCAGCTGTTGCACAACCATATTTCTACCCTTGAGAAAGCATTCATAGTGCTAAGCTGATAAATACAGGAGGGTTTCACCTGAACCTGAAGGAAGAGATGGTGCTGTTCACTGATTGTACAACCTCAGCCATAGTTTTGCAGATGGAAAGGGAGGTGCATTCCATTGTCAGTCTGCAGTAGTACACAGGACAGTGCTTGGCTCAGAGCCAGCGCCTTTTTTCTGCAAACAATAGGTATTTGTTTAATGAATGTTGGGACCAATGGAAGATTAATGAAGAAAGGAAAGCTAAGAGAAGAGGAGCAATGATGGTATTGAGCTTAGCTACTTTTGATGTCTGTTCTCTCGCAACTTGCTTCAGAGCATTGCTGGTCTTAACTTGCATAGACTATAAACAAATGCTTCCAATTTGTCTAATCCTTTCTCTCTTGGTCTGGAGAATGGGGATAATAAAGGCCTAGCTCTCAAAGAAATAGATATGTTTTTCTGGCATGTGGTCATCTTCTCTGTGGATGATCAGAAAAGTTCAGGAATTTATTGTAATCTTCAGGCAAAGAGTAAGAGGGAAGCTACTCATTGTAGGACCTGTTTATGTGACGTCTGAAAGGCAGGGTGCTCGGACTAACCTGTTCTTGGACAACAGTTGTTTTGGATGGTCCCAATTAGGAACAAAGAGCTTCTGCTTGGACAGCAGTTGAACTAGAATTTTAACTACCAGCCACACTCCGACTCTAATGCTGTGTGAAGGGAAAGGAGAAATCACATCCACCAGAGAGCTGAAAATCTTAGCTTTCCATTTGAAGACCAGAATACACTTGAGAGGAAGGGGAGCCAGAAGAGGGTGCTCTCTCATGAGGGTCTACATAAGAGTGAAATTTGTCTCAGAACCTTTTTTAAGCTATTTTTTTCTCAGGCTTTTCTAGTCCTGTCAGCACCCAACCCAAGTAAATTCTCTACCTGTGTTTTTCTGTCTCAAAGAAAAGTTAACGTAAAACTTTTTCTACTAATGAGGAAATACTTGACAAATTCATTAGTGTCAACCTTCCCAGAAAAGTTTTTGTTTTAAAAGATCCTACTTAGGGCCCTCCCTGGTGGCGCAGTGGGTTAGGACGAAGTACTGCAAGCTAGCCACAGCTGCTTGAGTGTGAGTTCGATCCCCGGTTCCAGAGGTGATCCACATGGCTCAGCAGACCTCTCCTATCTCATCCTCTGCTCCCCTCAGCAGTGTACTTTATTGATCTACCTGTTCTGCTCCCCTCTCTGTCGATGAATCTTCTCACTGCTCCTGCCTCTCTGGCCTGTACCTCAGTTCTGTATCTATAAATAAATAAATCTTTAAAAAAAAGGATCCTAGTTAATTCAAGACACTGAATTGATTGATGGCATTTCAAAAACAGTGGGGTACAGGGCAGGTTCTCTGTGGAACCCTCAGCACTCGTATCATATCCTCAGCTCGCAATCTTATTTTCAACTGTTACCTTGTTTACAGAAGCACAGCCACTGGGGACTGTTTGGGATCTTGAATGATATTCTCCCAATTACTAACAGAATTGAAATGGCTAAAATGAAAGTATATAACTCCTTAAAATATTTTCACTTTCACTCTATAAAGGACGTTGGTTTGAAGTGTATCAAAAAGTAAAATAGATTGATGGGAAAGGAATACCTGGACTAAAGCAAGGAACAACATGGTGGTAATAGTTTTAGAGCCTAAAGTATATCATGGGTTCCTGCTACACAGTTCTTTCAACTTTCCCCTGTATGTTTGAAATTTCTCATAATAGGATGTTGGCAGAGAAAAAGCTAATTGAGAGGAAACTGTTTAATGTAGTGGAATGAATGGCTTAATGTGTCGTTATTAACATGGCCATGCAGAAAAACATCTTTTGCCATACAAGTCACATATTTTGCTAACTTGTAGGTTAGCTCAATTGGAAACTTTCTTTAGTATCTGCACCAGCACTGGCATGTAAGAGTATTGTGATTACTGCTGTGATAAATATGATCGTGCATGTACCTCTGATTCAGAACCTTCCAGAAGCCAATAATGCCATGTGCTCATCAGGAGAGCAGTACAGAATTCCCCGCTGCCCGTACAGAGAATCCTTGCTGTGAAGCATTGCAGAGCAGGTTCTTCCCTACCTCGGGGAACAGTGACGTGGAAAAGCACAAGTCTTGCTGAGCTCAGTCCACCCAACACAGTCGATTTGCTATTTCTTCAGGGTCCGACTTTTGCTCTGATGTCCTGCAATTTCTCCCATTTTTACCTTTCAGGTCTCCTTAAGGCGACAGCAAGTAAGTGAGAGACTAAATGAATGGGCGGTCTTCAGTGAAAAGAACAAGGAGTTGTGCGAGTGGCTGACTCAGATGGAAAGTAAAGTTTCCCAGAATGGAGACATTCTCATTGAAGAAATGATTGAGAAGCTCAAGAAGGTGCAGTTGCTGGCTGTCTGTGTCTCCCTCTCCACGATACTCATACATGCTCTTCAGTGCAGAAGGCAGCCTCGCTCATAATTACTTTTCTATAAAAGGAATTCTGTCTCCTTTAAGCATTTTATTTTTTCAACATAAAATAAACTTACACGGAAAGTCCTGCATTGAATATAAAATATGTAGAATGTTTTAAATTTGTGATGAATGTTAATAAATTCATCACAGGGTTTACTATTTGGTCATTTCCATAGTAGGAATCATGGGTAAAACATCATTAGAGAAAAACAAAAAGAAAACATTCCTAGGATCAATTAAAGTGGCATTTTCTCTCTAAAACCTTGACTCCTAGAGAGTTAATGAAATGAAGGCTTTTCTGGAAATTTTATCTTCATATCATCTTCAGAGTTATAGGCAATTGTCACATTACCTTATATATTCATATTGCCCCTTAACATTTTTCATATCTCCGTACAAATCATCAAATTTATTAGCATTTAAAGACGTTTTTGATGGTTTCTCTGGTATGACCACATTGTCCTTGAATAGTTTTATTTTCATTTATGTTCCTGATGAGCACCAATCACCATCTGATACACCATACATTATTCCTCCATGTTTGTTACCTGTCCACGTCAGAAGCCCCACTGGATGGTTAACTTCACTGGAAGAGGCATTTTCTCCATTTTGTTCATTGCTGTCTATCCTATTCTCTTGCTGCAGTAAGAGGCATCTAATCTTTAGAATCAACTTTTTCATATTTAGCTTAAGCTCCTTACGTTTGTTTGAGGTTTAGTTTTAATCTGTGAGAGGAACTAATGCAGAAACTGGGCTAACAAAGAGAGTTTGCGATGCACTGATTGTCTAAGCCATTTAGTTATGATTCTCGCGACTCAGTTTGCCATTGATATATGTATGTGTTAGCAAATGTTGACACTGTATTGGTGACTTCTAAAATTGAAGATACTCTTTTAAAACATTGTGCACAAACACCATAATTAACCTGCATGTGTTCCTACACATATATATGGATTGTTCACATACACATACATCATCTAAGTCTGCCACCAACCATTTGTATAAGAATTAATTCTACACATCACATGAGGTTGGTGATTACAGCAACAAGCATAATTCCCCAATACTGAAATCCTTCGAATTTGAGCCTTTCTTGTGTATCTACTTTCATTGTATATTTTTTAAAGATTTATTTATTTATGCATACAGAACTGGGGTACAGGCCAGAGGCTCAGGGGCGGTGAGAGGCTTCACCAGAGACAGAGTGGGGAGCAGAACAGGCAGATCAATGAAGTACGCTGCTGAGGGGAGCAGCGGGTGGTCAGGAGAGGTCTGCCGCACCATGCGGTCACCTCCGGGGCAGGCGGGGATCAAACTCATGTGGAAGTGGCTTTAGATTCTCAGTGCTGTGCTTTAACCCGCTGTGCCACCAGGGAGGGCCGCTTTCATTGTATTTTTAATGTCCATTAAAAATAAATAGAAAGCACTCCTCATTGTATTTAAGCATAGATATATAAAAATTTCACCCAGATTCCAAATACATACTGAAAATAATAGGTACCATAGATTCAGAGTACGAGGACTGATATTCACACAGTGTTCCTCATGCCTGAACTATTTCCAAGCAGGAGTAAACTGTAATTACCACATTTCTAGTAGAATTGGGCTGAGTGCATTAAGAATACACTTTCTGATCTCGGTGATTGCTTTTTATTATACAGGATTATCAGGAGGAAATTGCTGTTGCCCAAGAGAACAAAATACAGCTCCAGCAAATGGGTGAGAGACTAGCTCGGGCCAGCCATGAAAGCAAAGCTTCTGAGATCGAGTACAAGCTGGGGAAGGTCAATGACCGCTGGCAGCATCTCCTGGATCTCATGGCGGCCAGGTGAGAGGACCTTGGTCAAGAGAGCACACGTGTGCAGGAATTCTGACATTATGTTCACTTTGCATTTGACCAAAAACTTACATAACCCAATATCCTGTCTTGTTTTCCACCATTGTGGTTCATGCTTTCTCATAAATGTCACTTCCACTTATTTTAAATTTTTTTTTTTACAAATCAAAACATAATTTATTTCAACAATATCTTATTAGTGCTTATTCTGGTTTAAGCACTTTTTTTTTTTACATTTTTTAAGCTGTAATTTTAAAACTAATATAATAGTTTATTTTTACATCATTTTGTGCCTTTTACTTTAAATTCTTATTTCAGGAATCTGACAATGTTTCCATTTTGCTGAAAATGAAAAAGTTATACCCAAACAAAATCTATTCCTAAGTGAAAATTATTTTCACTGGGGTTTCTGGGGTGAAGCTACTGACTAACGCCTGTGGTGGGTGGTAGTGATGGCAGTACCGAAAACATAATTGTCACATTCCTACTGTTTTCTGGCTCACAAGGTGTGCTGATAAAGCTAACTAGGGCCACTTATTGAGTAGCAAAATTAATCTGCTGCATTATTATAATTTTGTTTCAATGATAGTGTCCGTTCATAGCTAAGAAGAAAAATATATATTCCATTTGCAAAAGTCAGAGCAAAGAAAGGGATACGTCAAAAGGAAAAAAAACAAAAACAAAAACAGGTCTTTACTAGCAATATAAAGTACTGATATGATTGAGTGACTATATTGTGGTTTGGGGGAGTTCTTTGAGGAGGGTATATTCATTTTTTTAATACTAGTTGTTTCTATATAATACTATATATAGGTTCACACTTTAACATGTATTTATACCACACCACTCCCACCACCAAAGAGTGAATGATTAAGTATATGATTTATTTTAGGTGAACTTGGCTTCACGTTTGAGTGTAAGCTTGATGAGGGCAGGCATCTCTGTCCATTCTATTCACTGTATCATGAGCACCAAGAACAGTGCCTGAATGCAACTGGGCTTAACCAATATTTGAATGAATGATTATTTGGAGATTTGAGTGGAGAGTCTTCTTTATGACATTTAGGAGAGCTGAAATGTTACAGAGGCTTCCTGCTGACTCATTTCAGAGCTAGTCTACAATATGCTTTTTTTCTGTAGTGTCTGTTGGAACTCCTCTATTGTTTCTAATTTTACTTATCTGTATTTTCACTTTCTTCTTTGTGAGTTTGATAGCAAAAGATTTGGCTAAGCTGTCACTGACCCTTTGGTTTATCTTTTTAACACTAATCATTCATTTCTGTGACCTTTCATCTACTATTGATTTTGGCTTTTATTGTTTTTTTAGCTCCTGTAGGTACAAGCTTAAATTTCCTATTTGTGATTCTTGTTGTTTCTGAGATAGACTTGTATTACTTTAAACTCTTCTCTTAATACTGCTTTTGCTGCACTCCATAGATTATGATAAATTGTCTTTATTTTCATTCATCTTCAAGTATTGTTTGATATTATCTCTGATTCTGAACTCAACGTAACTTTTTAAGTCTGGTTTCTTTTCCTGCTTCGTGAATAGTGTCTTTTGTTTTGTTCATTTGTTTTTTGTGAAGTGTCTTTTGACTGATGTGTGTCCATAAAGACAGCGTATGTGTATGGCAATTCCATATATTGACTTTGAAAGGACTTTTAATGATAAAAGAGTTGTCAAAGGGTCTATTTAAGAAGCTGATATTATAATTCATTTTAGTGATGATGTAACAAAAACAAAATAAATGTTTACCAATCTTAGACATGTTTCCCAAGAGTGCTAGAATCACTTGTATTTATTAAGCCCTCAGTTTATACCAATGACCATGTTACTGGCTTCATATGCTGCTTGTTATGTTATTAGTGACCCCCTTTGAGGTGGGTGTTATTATTACACCCATTTTTCAGAAGCAGAGGTTCAGTCCCAGGCTCAGGCTCATCCATTGTCAGCCTGCTCCCTGACTACGCCACACATGCTCACAGTACTCTGCTCTCCAGCATGCTGGACTTAGACCTTTTAATTTATTTATTTAAAAGGAAGCTGGACTTTGTTATTTATTTTACAATCTAACTTCCCAATCTTTTTTGTGATAATGTGACAGTCAATGGGGAGATTCTGGGGATACAAAGATAGATACAGAAACTGTCTTCCTCAAGGACTTCATGGTAGGAATACAGACTTGCAAAGAAACCAGTAAAGATGATGGACAAGTGCTTTGGTAAAGGGGCTGGAAGGAGATAGAAACAAATGGTTCACCTTATGTGCTCCAAGAATCTAGGCACATGTATCTTTAGAATGTAATTGCTTTGTTTAGCTTCACTTCTCAGTCACTGATAAGATAACAGATCTTATTTCAGATAAAGAAATTGAAGCCTGGGTACTATAAATATCCTTCTTAGAGAACCACCTACTTCTGATTTTTTTTTTTTTGTGACAGATTATGACTCATGAATTGTCTTACCTTTCCATGTAATCCATTTAAATTAGTTTATATTCTTTCTAATATTCTGTTGCTCAGTGGAGTATAACATGGGGATTTGCTATGTCAAAGATGTTTTAAATTGAACTTAATATCACTTTATCATAAGCAACTTACTTAGTGTACCCCGGCTATTGGTCAGGATTCTATCAAATTAGTTAGGTGCTTTCTCCTCAAAGGTATGTTTGTAAGTTTTCTATCTGTTGGCTCAAATAAGAATTTTCTAGATATTATTTAGTCTGTCCTTTCAAAGGAATCTTAGTAAACTTGAGTTGATTAAATATTTATAAGATATACAAGCTTTACACTGGCATCACAAAAATGCTCATGTGTTTTTACTGTAGAGTTTCATCATGTATAGAGTTCTTGCCCACAGGAGACTTTTGTGTGTATATTGTCATTTCCAACTAACTGTTTCCTTCTGAAGTAGACAGGATAACTTGTTGATCCTTAATTTGTCCTGTAGTTTAATGCCACATGGAACTCTTGATCTCCTTGCAGCTTGTGGTGCTGGGTCATCACATTTGTTGTCATTCCTTAGCTTCACTATTATATAGACACACACACACACAAACACACACTAGCTAATCACTCCCACACCCACCTTCAACTATGACCTGCAGCTGCAATAGAAAATTCCATACTGCAATCTTATTGATCATTCTTTCCTCTTTCAGCTTTTGTTTTCCACATTAATCCATTAAAGCAGAAATGACCAGTCTTTTGATATTTCTGTGTTGGTCTGGTGGTTCTGTGGATTTTGAGGTGGTTTTATGACAATAATTATATTTTCAGATGGACAGCCTCCCAACTAACAGGCACATGATCATAGAGAGAAAAACAGAAAAAGAAAAGAGATTCACTGGTAAACCTGTTTTATGCAAATAGAATAGAAAGTATAGCTAATTTTATGTCACCATTAGATTCGCTTAGACCATTCTGAGTACATACGTGTTCTACAATCAAATTTTAAACTGTCACCAAGAATTGTTAGTATTTTAGGGCAACAAAATTTGCTCATTTAATTTTAGGGATCAATGTATAACACCCTCGTACTTACCACACTTTCTAGACATGCTTAGTTCAACAGCAATCACTGGCCACATGTCGCTATATAAATTAACTGAAATTGAGTATACTTAAATCACTTTAATGTTATTTATATTCAGTTGCCATATTTGCAGAACTCAATAACCCCGTGAGGTCCTGGCTACCTTAGTGTACACTGCAGACACAGAACATTTTCATCATCCACAAAGTTCTGTTGACCATGCTGGCCTCAAGTATTAAAAGCATTTCTGATCTCTTGACTTATTATTGAGTCAATATAAGAAAAAGTCATTGATGAAGCATCTTGAAATATCTATAAAACTGTCTGAAGATTCTGGCTCTCATTTTGTGATCCATAGGGAAAAAAACCTTAGCAATTATTTTTGGGCAGGGGGAGTTCAAGATCAATAGGGAGCCTGTCTTTTGGCATTACATGTTCACTCTAGCAGACAGCATGCTATTGTATATTCCCCATCAGTCCTGATGAAGGTCAGAATCAAGTAGTTTGTTCTGTTATAATGACTTTTTTAAAAACTATAATTGGAACTCCTAGCATAAATATATTCTTCTCTCTGTCAAACATAAATCCCTATCACAATAATAAAAGCACACTTAAGTTATTTGGCTCTTTATTTTTGTAAAAACATCTTTATTGAGCTATAATTCATATTCCATATAGCTCATCAAAAGTGAACAATTTAATGAAATTAAACTTTAAAACATTTGTACCACCCCAAATAAAAACTCTATTACCCATTGGGAATCATTTTTTTTTTTTTTTTGCCCTCCACTCTCCTTCCTTCCCCTAGCTCTAAACCTCCTTCTCCTATAGACTTACCTTTTCTGATTTCACTTATATGAAATCACACAGCACGTGGCCATTTGTGTCCATCTGCTCTTAATCTGTATACTTATTATAATCTCCTTAAAATTGTATAGAAGTAAAATGAAAACAAACCTAACACTTAAACCACCTATCGAATGTTCCCTGTGCATGAAGTTCTGTGTGTGTTGCTATGGGACACAAGTTGGCAAACTTTCTTACAGGACCAGATAGCAAATGGCTTGGGCTTGGGATTCACATAGTCTCTGCCAAAACCCCTTTGTTATTGTATTGGGAAAGTAGTTACAGAAAATAGGAAACCAGAGAAGCATGGCTGGCATCCTGTAGCATTTATTTACGAAACAGGTGGCCTGCTGTAGTTTGCCCACACCAATTCTAGGAATATAAAAAAGAAAAAGTCCCTAACAAAATGAGAGCAATTAAGCAAATACACATAATCCCTCACCTCAGTGCCTCCACTTTCTGTCACACCTTCCTGCTCATTCTGCACGCCAGGTCTGCTGGCCAGCCCCTCATTGCTCTTCAGCATCTTCATTTTCTTAGGATTAGACCGTATTCTTCTTATTTGCTCAGCAAACTTTCATACTTCTCCTTCACTGTGTTTCCCTCTACTC